AACCGCAATGCATTTTTTACATTCGAACGTTAAGTCGGTTAATATTTATAGTTTCCTAAAATAACACCTGAACTACGTCATCAGTCCCTAGCATAAAGTCAAACGTGAAAATTGTACGACTGATTCATGATGGAAGTCCATTATGAAATTTTCGTTAGGAACGAGCGTTGGCTGGCACCTAGTTTCTGAAAGAAATGCAAGGTGAATGGACCAGTCGACGTCACAACTCGCGAACTAGGTCAGCCCGGGGATTTCAGTTCATATTTCCCTCGCGCCACCCTTGCCCTGGCGGTCGTTCATTGAAAACACGTAAAACATTGATTCAGGAAATTGATTACCATGCCTAGAATGGGTCAAGATCTGACATTTTTATCCCCTCTTGCGTTGTTACGAACATTATTTCAACAAAAATTCAAATTTTTCAAACGTATTTCACACAATTCGTTTTATTTCATACCTACTCAAAAGTTCGAAACATTTAAACATGGTTGGCACTCTGCAATTGGGAAGATCGTTATAAACAATCCACGTTATTAGATCGGATTGCACGGACGAGAAATAGGGGTTGGTCGAGCTAGAGGCGCGGTTTTTCTCTCGCGTATCGTTCCTCCTCGAGTTTGTAATTACTAAGCAGGGTTGTTGCTAGGGGCAGGTGAACGTCGCGGAGGCAGAGAAATAAAAGGGCGACGATAAATTCCCAGCGGTGAGAAATAAAACGTTGAGGTCGCGGCCGACTCTTTTTTCCTCCTTTTCCCAGTTTCGTTCTACCCCGCCGATAAATTTCCTTTCCTTTTCCATCGCGCGAATTATTCTAACGTCTGTTTCGCTTTTTGTACCTGGCAGCGTAGATCGCGCGAGATGATTCCACGCGAGAGAGGCGGAAAAATGACAGAAACGGACCGCATGTCGCGGGTGAACGCCGATCGAAAGCAACGGAACCGCACGGTGAACTGGATTCACCTTTGACGTGCATGAAAATGAAGAACAATGTGGTCTGTGAAACGGTTCAAAGAGTCATCGTGGCGTGCAAAAACACGGGATATCCGCGGAATGGGCCGAATAAATACCCATATTTCCTTAACGACGAAGGAAATGACGATATTTGTGGAAGAATAGATTCAGCAAATTTCTTAATCCATTCGAGACGGCAATTTTTTTCGAACACGGTCTAATAAAAGAACTTGTAAATAAGATGATTGCACACCGTGTGCGCAGCTCCTCAGAAAATTTGTATTGTGAGGAGCGGATTGAACACCATGTGTGCTATGTCAAGTGAATTAAAAATACATCATTAAAATTGATAAACATTTATTTCGAAAATAGTTAGATAATATAAAACCGTTATTTTGTTTTCAGTAATGATGAATACAATGTAAAGAAAATTTTAAAAAAATAGTAAAAAGTCGAAAGAATAAGTTGAATAGTGAAGAATATAATATAGACTAGAAATAAATTTGTAGAAAAATGTCAAAATAATGAAAAAGAAAATATAATTCGTAAATACATTTTTGTTGCCATTTTTGCCTCAGCACGGCTAGTACTAGAGTAGACTGTGACACTTATCCAATATTATTATCGAGAATTTTATATTCGACTAGGTTTTCCAGGGAGCAACTGATAGAAATTCGTCCTTATTAATCAAATTTATTAAGCATGCGAAAATAAACTTAATAAACCAATGGCGAAACTACGGTTTAAAAAACAACCTGCGTCAATTCTGCAGATTGATCCTTCAAGCTTACCGCAAATCACATGTCGAACTGACTTCCTCTTTCTCTCACATACAAGTCGACTCTCCGTTTGATTCATTCTCAGAGATATTGAACACTTTCTCGATACCACGTACGTATAGCAGGCACATGTTATGCCTTTGTAGCAGGTAATAAATAGTAATATTCTCATTTATAGTAGTGTGCCAATTTCACTCGCCCAGGTTTCAACAGAACTAATATCGACAACCTAGCATTCATGCAACACGATTCACGCAAGACTCCATAGCATCGAGATCCACAGGGAGAGATGAAATATTATTTATATAGATAGGCCAGGAAAATTCAATAAGTGTAAATTTGAAAAATGTACGACGTTTCGATCGCATCAATTATTCATGATATAATACATTGACGTTATAACTACTGCCTTATTTAGAAAGAATTCACAATTTAGAAGAGGGTTTATATAAATATAGGCTAACGGTAACGTCTGCATACTATTCAAAAGTATTGGGCTGTCTGGGAAGTCCATGCCGATTTTTAGTAGCCAACACAGGTCTGAATATGTCGGAATGCCTGAGAATAAATAACATGTATACATTCCTTAAAAGGTGGAAAAGTTGTGGAACAAAATTGTATATACATAATTCAATAAATATACATCAACATACAAATATGCCTTTGAATTTTTCTTAAAAATAGGCACGAACTTTCCGGACAACCCAATATATTAAAAGTATATCTATCCTATCTGTTTCCCTCAATTGAGCATTATAAGTACATATACGATAGTACAATAAGATAGTTAATAAATTCCAGGTGATGGCGTGAAAGTGAGAAGTTTCTATAGATAGCATTATATATTAAAAATTAAAAATTAACAAATTCATTGCTTATTTTGCATTCATTGACTTCATTTTGCTCTTTTAGACAAAGAGAGACTACGTTGTTCCTTTAACACTTTCCTTCCCCATTCTTCTATCACTCAACTTTAATCTCCTTTGTTTCTTTCCTGTTTATATAAATAACAAAAAAAAAATATATAAGAAATGCTTCGAAAAGCCACCAAATAAACCCCTTTTATTCTCAACAGACCACGGGCAAACAAAAGTCTTCGTTCAGTTTTCATAATCTCCGGATTTCATTGTTCGAAGTATCAGTTCCTAGTTTATACGCACTATCGGATAGGTACGGTGAATCGATAGAGCAGAACGCGAGGTATCGCGCTCAACGGGCAGATATCGACGAAGAGAGAAGCGAAAGAGTTGCAAAGAAGGAGGGACGATCGAAAGGGGAGAGAAAGGCTGAGAGGGTGACGCATGAACGGAAAGCGGAAGCACGGAACCGCTCAATGGAAGAGCTCTACCCCTGCAGCGGATGCGAATGGGCAACCGTCCCATTGAAGATACCTCGGATATTCGCAATGCGTATGCGCAGGGTTGACGTTTCTGTTTATCGAGCAACCGATTGTCTCTCTCTCTCTTTTTCCACCAACCGTCTCTCTTCGTCTCGTTCCTCCTTCTTCTTCCTTCGTCTCCTGCCTCTTTTATCAATCGCTCCTCTCGCCGTTTCACTCTAACGCGGACCGACAACCGTTTACTTCCCCATCATCCTTCTTCCTCCCTCTCCGTGCGAATATTTTCGCTCCAAATTGTTCATTGTTCGCGAACACGGACGAGGCAAATGTTGAAACAAATGCGAGACACGATGAATATTTCCTCTGTGATCATCGTATATGTTGGGACCAGGGCTTCTCAACCTTTTCGCTATAAACTTTGAATGATCCGTTTTTCAATTCACGTTTTTTATTTTTGAGGGCTTAAGGCGTCTGGCCATCCTGAACGCTCTCCAGATGGGTACTATTCTTAAAAAATTCACAAATGCGAAAGTATAGAAAAAAATGTTTTTATTTTTTGACACATACTCAAAAACGGTTTAATGAACACATGAACAATTTTTTGAGATAACAAAAAAAAAAATGGCGGCGGTTCGAAAATTTTGGTGAAGGCCTCCGGCACGAAACGCGCGTGGGCTGTACCATCATTATATTCTGTAGGTTGCACGTGAAAAAGAAAAAAAAATATTAATTTGTTTTTGGAGTTTGTCGCAAGAGAGTAGCAATTGGATTTTTGTTTTTTACCATTAAGAAAATTATGGTGAGCCGAAGAAATTTTTTTGTTATTTTTCACCGAATTTCACGAGGAAAATCGGCAATAAAAAAAAACTAATCAAGTAATCGCAAAAATCCATTGCTACTCTTCGGATAACGTATCTAAAAGTAGCGTGTACAAATTTCAGAGCGATCGGACCACACGTTTACGAGATTTACGTTGTAACATTTCGAAAAATGTGGTTTCGAGATAATCCCAAAAGAAAGTAAACGTGCGGTTCGATTGCTCTGAAATTTTTACACACTACTTTTAGATACGTTATCTGAAGAATAGCAATGGATTTTTGCGATTACTTGATTAATTTTGTAACTAATTTTTTGTTTTAAGAATAGTACTCATCTGGCGAACACTCAGGGTGACCAGACGCCTTAAGATTGTGTGATGATCCCCAAGATGATGTATTAGAGGGACCAGAAAGTAATGTCGTATCTTTTACATTAAATTTAAACAAATAAATTTATATCAAGTTTTTATTTTTAATCAATTATGTAATAGCCCTCGTTATCAACAACCTTTTGTTATCTAGTGTTCAAATTTTCAATATCTGATCGATAAAAATCAACTGGTATACAATGAGCTGATATATGATAAACAAGTATCGACATTACTTTCTGGTCCCCCTAATAGGTTAGATGTACACAGAGATTTTTGGAAGAGATAAAAGGAAAATAATATTTACTACTACTTATAAATTCAAATTGACACACAAAAGTATATGATTAAAATTAAAATGAAAATATCTCTTAAACGATTTATTTTTGGATATGAACAATTCAATATATTTTTGTAGAGAATATCGAGTTAATATCATCGACTAATGCAATAGAAAACAAGTTATAATTTAAAAACAGACAGAATAGTCTATAAATAATTTCTTATTCGACAATTATTCACTAAGAATCATAACATAAATTAGAAAATACAATAATGCTTACTTTAAAATATAAAATTTCATCCAAACAACAGTTGAAGTCGCTGTACCACGTTTCTTATTCGTCATCTATTGTACAAATAAAATTTTTCCCATCTCTGAGTAGGAGGTCAAAGATCGTTGTTTATTTCTCGAGCAGGCGAGACGTTGTGGTACGAGCGCAGACGATGATACGTCGTCTGTAATATGAGTCAGGCATAAAAATTTAACGCTCGATGGAATCACTGGCAACGAGGAAATGTAATTACATCGTGTGAGAAGGTGCGTTCCGTGCGCGACGATCAACGAATCAACGTGCGTGAGACGGATTTAACCGCGTGAGAACCGTAAGCGCACCGAAATACGTAACTCTTTTTAGGAGGAACGTGAGACAGGAATCACGCATCGTGGGGCAATGCTAAAAGAAAAGACGAAACACGTGTTTCTGGAAGAAATGTTTCTGGAGTTGCCGGAATCCGTCTTAACGACCCGCCGCGCTTCCTACCGTGCATAATTCATCGGTGACTCGAAATCCTCGACGGCTACAGCGGGCACGTACGATCTGCAATCTCGTATGTACAACAATACCGTCCTTGTTATGTGACTTTTTAATAAGTTGCAGCGTGTTCGCGTTCGTGTTCGCGATACTGTTTAAGAGGGGAACCATGTATTAAATGTTTCACGAGACATTCTTTTTACAGAGAAGAATTTAAAAGTCTTTTTAATTCCGAGAACATTTTAGGTGGATTTTGAAGTACACTCGGTCATTTTTACGATTCATTTCGCATAGAAATTTTGTTGTGCTCCTAATCAATGGTTCTAGAATCGAGAATCATCTTTTTAAAGTAACGATTATTTTTCATACTTCTGATAATATCTAAAAAATCATTTACGGTGCTTCACGAGGATATGATCGAATATTTTTCTCAAAGTTTTTGAATAGAAACACATAGACAATTTTTGAATCTCGTAATTTTTTTTAGAAAAAATTGAACACGTATAACTGTTCACTTCTAAAATTAGATTCGACCTCACAGTTCTTCGTACTTATTGCAACAACAAAAATTAGGAACACGAACTGGATAAATTTTGAGTCATCGCATTGTAATGTCGATTGTACGGACGTCGTGGTGTGTCGTAAATGGTATAGTCTGTCCAACGTCGATTCTCGTTCCTTCGGGTAGGGATGAGTCACCCGTTCGTAATTTTATTCCGAGCAATTATTCGTTCTACCCCGGAGCTCGACCGAATGCCGGATAGCAGGTTATATTCTCCAAGTGAAACGGAAGTACGCCCACGTCTAGCAAAAGGCTTCGTTCGTTAAGCTGCTCCTCCTGTGTCGTAATACCATCGGCACCAGACTCAACGTTGGGGAGCATTCGTAATTAGTGACTAATTAGTGACACGAGTGTGACGATTACACGATAAACGAACCATGCGATGCAACGGTTTACTCGAAGCCGGATATGCTACATCGATTCGACTAATAATTTCAAGAACAGATGTAACTTCCAGCTACTGCTTCTGGAACGTGTCGAATTTCACTGTTCCATTCGAAAAGATTTGGTTTTTTAATTTAATATGAATGGCATGAAATATAGAATTTTTTAACTTCCCGATTTATAGCGAAGTTATTGTATTTATTAATTTTATTATTGCAATGACCACCAGCTGTTACCACCTCAGTTTACATTAATACTACCATGCGTAGTGAAAAATGATGTATACAGGGTGTCTTTGTATAAGTTCGGACATACGCAGGGGGTCAATTCTACAAGAAATTTCCAACAAAAAATTACTCTTAGACATTTTCTTTGTGTCGCCTTATTCTCGAGTATTTTCACTTTTAATATTTTTTCTGCGTTTTCGACTTGACATTCTTTAAACGGCCATAACTCTACCAAATTATAGTGCAAACTTAAAACTAAGTATACCATTCGAAAGAGCGTTAAATTTTCCATTTCTCTAATGCAAAATCAAAATTTATTACGTAGATTTAACAAGGGAAAAATTAGGTCAAACTTTACATTGTGAAAATTTCAAAAAATTTGACTTTTTTTCTATCCGTTTTTCGGTTTCAAAGACATAGTTGTTTGGCGAGCACTCTTCGGGAAAAACTTCCTCGATGTGTCAGCTTTTGAATGGTACTGTCAAAAAAAAAAACTGTACGGTGGTGTTTTCAGGAGAAAATGATGTCTAAATGCAGAAAGCGTTCAAAATGCCCGCCTTCTAAATCAAAACTTATCGGTTCTCCTGCGCCGAAAACATCGATTTTTTGCTTTGTGAAATCGATCGTGTTCCAATCTCCATATCATTTATCGGTACACCGAGGTTGATTTTGATTAAATAGTCTCTAAAAACGAAAATTTTATGGATACATGTTCAAAAACAATTATTATTCCTAATTGGGGAGGCTCGGGAGTGTCACTAAAAAGTACATCAAACTCGATGTCAAGTTAATTTTTAAAGTGACAAGTCGATTTTTGCTGAAAAATATTGATTTTCACGTAAAAACCTATGCTTTTCTGCATTTAAACGTAATTTTCTTCCTACAATGTCACCGTACAATTTTTTTTGACAATACCATTCGAAGTTTTTCTCGAAGAGCGCCCGCCAAATAACTATGTCTTTGAAACCGAAAAACGAATACAGAAAAAGTCAAATTTTTTGAAATTTTCACAATGTAAAGTTTGGCCTAATTTTTCCCTTGTTAAATCTACGTAATAAATTTTGATTTTGCATTAGAGAAATGGGAAATTTAACGCTCTTTCGGATGGTATACTTAGTTTTAAGTTTGCACTGTAATTTGGTAGAGTTATGGCCGTTTAAAGAGTGTCAAGTCAAAAACGCAGAAAACATATTAAAAGTGAAAATACTCGAGAATAAGGCGACACAAAGAAAATGTCTAAGAGAAATTTTTTGTTGGAAATTTCTTGTAGAATTGACGCTTAGCGTATGTCCGAACTTGTACGTAGACATCCTGTATAGATTTGGAATGGTTTCGATTGGGCCACATTTTAATATTACTAGTGATTCGTTTTACCTGCTTGAAACAACTTTTTTATTCATCAAATTATGTTTTTTCTTTCTAAGAATCGGTGGTCCACATTTTGAGAAACACTGTTCTATTACAACTCGCATGGAAGCCCAATAAAAAAAATCCATATGTAGACCTCAGGTCCACGTGCTTTGTATTTAATTTGATTACTAACTATTTCATGGTATAGATGACCAAGAAATAGTTTCACTTTTGAAAGATGGACTAAAACTCGCGAAACAAAGGGTTAAACTTAGAATACATCAATATTTAAATTTTACTCTGAATCTGTTGTTCCTTGCTCAGGGTTTATCACCGTTGCAGAGATAAACTTCTCAATGGCTCGAAAACGCGCGTTATAATTAGCTTAGTTATCTAAAGTTTTGTTTCATAGCGTGCTGATGAAACTCCAGTCTATTCTTAATCGAAGACGCATTCAAAGAGGATCACGATTCGAAACTCATATCCTTTCAGCTCATATAATTGATTTTTTTTCATTCTTTTGCTCAAAGGTCCAAAATATTTGGAAACATTTATAGTATACAGTGGGTGTAGAATGTATTCGTACACCGATCAATTTCCCAAAAAAATTTTCTGTGAAATTGTAGTTTCTTAACTTCTTTTATTATAATCGATGATATTTTACATATTCTTGGAAGTCTCTAAGATAGATATAGTCCAAACAACATTTACTAGTTAATGTAATTTGTGAGATTAACAAAAAAATGCGAAAAGTGGGTAAAAGTATAGAAGCAATAAGTATTTGTACGATTCTTATAACGAACCATTTACAGCAGAGTTTGTAACGTAAACACATCAGTTTATTGCTCCGTACGAATTAGAAAACATCAAATTACCAGTAAAGTACTTCTAAACAGTTGTGCAAATACTTATTGCTCCAACATTTCTATCGATTAATTGCTTTTTCTTGTTAATTTCGCAACTCACATAAATAGCTATTCTTTTTGTAATCTATCTATTCTAGAGATTTCCGTGAATATGTAGAATGTCATTGTTTATAACAAATAAGTTAATACATTACAATTTTACACAGTCCTTTTGGAAATTGATCGGTGTACGAATACTTGATACACCCACTGTATGTTCCGCGGTATAGCGTCAAAGACATCCTTTAGCAGTTGGTCGAGATCTTCAGGTATATGGAAATGTAAAATTAGTTTCCTGTTAGCGACAGGAAGTGCCAAAAATGTTTCCTTCCCTCGGGCTGACTGTCCTAAAACTGGTATAGGGAAACAATACGCAGTAAGCGCCGTTGTAGCGGAAGTAACGACCTAGGGGTCCTAAGAGGGAAGCCGGATGAACCTAAACTCCGATTCGTAGAAGCGGACCCCTGGATCCGGCGGTTCTTCGACGGACCCTTCCTATCCTTCAGACGTTTCTCTGAAGCCGGTACATGAGACCTTTTGTTTGCTTCTAGCTTTGGTCCGTGTTCTGCTGAATAGAAAATCAATCCTTGTCCGTTACAACATCTTTACAACATCGGGGCCCGTTGAGAACACTGGTCGAACAATTATCTTCGAGAAAACGTCCTACGATCATTCGTCATTTCGTACCTTCGACCTTTTTCGAAAATTTTGTCTTCGGTAATTTGTAAGAAGAAGGTTTCTCGAGAGAAACTTTCAGATCTTAATAAAACTCAAATTGTTTCGAATATTTCCGTTTCTTTCTGTTTGAAATGATAGTACACATAATTACTGTTAAATGTAGAAGACGATGTTTAATTCTCTTGTCATTAGTGTATTTGTATCCAGCGAAGATATATTTGTACTTGTTAGTGTATTTCAATGTTTGCACCTGATCTTGTCGTTATAATATTTAACTGTATGCAACTTCTTTAGTTTAACTAAAATTAGTTAATAGTTATATTTTATTCTTGAAGACCCTTTTGGAAAGTACCTATATTTGCATTTAGTTACAAAAATAATAATAAGCAAAGTCTGATGGCTGCTAAATTTAAACCGTATATGTGTCAGATATTTCAGTTAGTAGCTGATATCTGCCAAATGTTAAATGCTATCATTTAACATCTTCGACCTTTGAGTGATTTAAATTTGCATAGAAAGTAGTAGTGATGACCTGATTATTTATAAATCGAACATCCGGGAAGGCCACACGATAACGGAAATGAAATACCTTTAAGCGATCGGAAAGCTTATATAATTTTCACTGTTTGGGTTATTTTTGTTGTACTTCCAAATGCTACTTCAGTCGCTTACAAGTCATCAACAAACGAAACGAATAAATTCTATTTTAAGTGTTACAAATCTAACTTAGACGAAGCATTAAAGATGGAGAAATTAATGAAGAAATATGAAAGGATATTTAGCTTGCACAAAATAACGTTTGCATCTAGAACTTAGTAGTTACAATAACTTTCTTATAATAGAAATTTTGGAATTTACTCAGAAATACAATTAGATATAATGCGAAAGTAACTACAAAAATTGTTGATTAATATTCATAATTAAACTCCCCAACGACAAAGCACCCCAGTATGATCGTTCAATTTCATCGAATAACATCAATTTTTTTATTTCAGAGAACACGAAGAAGTTGAATAAACTTTTTCTTCCTTATCATTATTCTATATCCATCAGCAATTTGTATAATTCGTATAAGTTTATTAATTCGTAAAAGTTTTCGCTTTTTAATAAAAGTTTATTAATTCGCTGGTTCCTTAATTCGTATAAATTTACTTTACTACTCTTCATTGACGATTACTTTATAGTAATCCTCTGTTAACCTTTAATTTGGTCTTCAATCGATACATGTTCTCTTAATTTCTTTTTTTCTGATTCCGCGAACCAGCACTCAGCATGCTTTTCCTAGTAGTTGAGGCGGTATGTCATAACGCAAAGGCTTACATTATCGAAGCAACGTACGGTACCGCACTCTCATTCTCAAAGTGAAACGCAAGCAATCTCCTTTCCGCGCGTTTCGCAATTATGCATTCCGAGGTGCTCGCGCTCCGATTAATCATCGATTGTTCTTCGCTTACGCATGGATTTATAACTGAGCCTGTAGCGTACGTCGAAGGACGGCGATTTTCCATCGCTTTACAGCCGGAAACCGGACGTGACGTTTAATCATTCACTGATGACGAGGAAATACATTTATATTCTCCGGCAAGCATCGATTTTATATAGAAATCCGATACATTTTTTTTGCTTAATTACTTCATTCATTGTATTGGAAATTTTATTCGAAGGTAAAACTAATTAATTAACAAAATATCGTGGAGCGGAACGGATTTTTGTTTGTTCTCTGTTAATTACGAAAGTTTTGCGGGCGCCCGATACGGTTCTATAAATAGGAGCAATAGTTTGTGAAACTAGCGGTCAGATATTGTATACACATCGCAAGTAATTATTGCTTTCTATATAATTTTCCCCAAAAATTATATCATCAAAAAATAATTCTTCTATTTCAATTGATCTTTTTATATCGTATTTGCGTCCTTATAAAAAAGAATTACAGTTTATCTAAATTTCTAGAATCACCCAGTGGATGCTACAATATTTATTTTGAATTTAAAAAGCACTATACATATATACTGAAAGATCAAGTAAATGACCTAAGCGATATGATAAATACTTAAAAATAAATTCATCTCGTACAATTAATTTTGTTTTCATATCAACTAAAAAGTCGATCTGATTAGAAACAAAATTTTTAATTGGTTTTTTTAACGAGTGGATACCATACGGTGTAACGATACATAATAACAGTGGAGAGTGCAAGCATTGTTCAGCAAACAATGCAAGTTACAGACATTAAGAGAACGAGAAACACATCCGAATCGCTTCGACGATTGTTGCTAATTCATTCGTTCCTAATCAATTATCCAACGAGTGTTTCGTTCGACCTGCTTCGATGCGGGTATTCGTCAATGAAATTCATCGGTGAATTAGCGTGCAAGTAACCTTGACCTTCGTGAGATCTTTCGGGGATCATTGAGGCATGGCCGGAAGCGGATGTGACGCGTTCACGAGATTGTTAAAAGTAGACGCAGGAAAGAAAAACATGAGGATTTCGTCGATGATCCGGAGCATAATCGGCGATTGTCAAGTACTGCGTCGGTGGGATCGAAAATAGAATAGCCTCGAGTTCCGAAATTTCGAATGGCCTCAGCAGATTTTTTTCGATCTACTTTTGTCTAGTGTATGGGCATAATTATGGTACATTCAGATTTGTTGTAATTTGGGATACAAAGGGATTTCCAAATGGAGCTTTAAGATTTTATTTTACAATAAAACAGAAGTGGTATGGAATATGTATATCCAATCTTTTAATTTTAAATGAAAGTATACGTATAAAAGTAGAGAGATTACAATTAAAAGTGGAAGATAATATCATTTAGTTCCCTTGTCGTTTGTATATTTAAATTTTACGAAACTATATTAGTATTTGTAACTGTATTCTAATGACTTTACTGATTTACTCCTGACTTTATTTTTATACTATTTAAAGATATGTAACTATTTATTTATCATTATATCATTTAGTTCTCTTGTCGCTGGTATATTTAAATTTTGCGAACCTATATTAGTATTCGTAAGTGTATTCTAATGACCTTACTGATTTACTCCTGATTTTATTTTGATACTATTTAAAGATGTTCAACTATTTATTTTAACGACGCGAGCATTAATTAAAATAACTGACCGTAAGTGTCCTTCACGACTGCGCTAATAGGTTTGCTCTGTTATAAAGCAAAATTCTAAAGCCCCATATAAAGACCCTTTACACGTTAAGGTACTCGATTGACGTTAAATTTATCGTTTCTATTTTAAACATAATACTTCCAAAATGTGGAGTTAATTCACTCTGCCTCCGAGGTACAGAGATTATCTGAAGCTCTCGAGCGGAACAGGAAATGACGCGGTCAGATCAGTTAACGGCCGAATAAAAGTCGCGATATCACGAGCCAACAGGATGTACCTGGATTCCGGATGTTTTCTTTACATATCGAATCGCAAAATAACTACCGGATGAACGCTAGCCTTTTCATCTGTATTGAACGGACGTGTCCTTCAATTACGTCAAGTATTCGATACAATCAGATGAAAAAACCGGTGAAATAGTGGCTCGTCGTTTATATAAGATGAAGGAATTAATTCTGTGCCTTTTTTAGATAAACTTATCATTTATTTATAAAGAGAAACTACACAACTTTTAATGCTCCCTCGATCACGCTATCAAGGGAGCACATGTTGTTGTAAGACCAAATATCAAAAGGATGTGGGTGTTTAATTACTATGGAGGTTGGTACTTTAAGGTATCAAATGGCGGGTAAGTATCCCTGTTTAAACTAGAGTTACAAATGAAGACAGAGAACCCATTTCTATACCTAGTACTTGTCAAGTATGTTTCCCTATAATTTGTTAGAAGAACAGCGATAAGATAAATATAGATAAATCGCAATGACCATCAGGTTGAGACTCAAGTTATAATTAATGTGTACACCTGATACATAGATATAAATAAATCTGTATCTTTTTTTTTAACTTTGTGTATTCTTTGTATTTTCGATATTTTCGCTAGGTAGAAACAACACAATTGCGAATTTTCCCGGCAGCCTCGTTTTTCTCTGTCGAATTCCACGTATCGCACGTTAAAGCACTTTGTCAATCATTTGTCTTCGGCAGGCACGAGTGGCCTGCGGGATTCGCGCTCCGGCTCATGAATGAAGGTCTTATTAATTTACGACTTCGAGTCGCTCCAGGAAAAGTGCTCGAGAGAAATCGAGATACGAATTTGTCGGTGGTCGATCAGAAAAGTGAATTAGAACGAATGCAATTAATTTAACCTCGGATTATTCGTGCTCTGGAATCTACGTTACTATAAGTAATATAGAGATACGATGGTTCTGGTAATAAAACACTGCTGTGTAGAAATAAATTTGTCGTATTTTGTGAAAATAAAGAGCATACTCACGTAACAGAAGCGATAAAATTATATTTCTTTGTAATAGAGATGTATCGAAAACGTATCTCAAGGATCTTAATGTTTGTTTACAGTCAGTCACATAAATATTCGTACCCTCTATATCCATTGTGGAAATTTGTTTAAATGGTAGGTTTGATGTTTCCAAGTGTATGGAAACGTATACATGTATAAGGTTATTCATATACATATTTATAATGAAAAATTCATTTGGTAATACCAAAACTATTATTTAATTTAGTCAAACTTCATCAATAGACATAGAGGGTACACATATTTATGGGATTGACTGTGTATTATAATATAACGATCATCGAATCTTTAATCTTCCTACTTTTAAACTAACGGACTCGTGATTCCTTACATGTTTTAATTAATTATATTCTCCTCGCAGTATGCAAATTACTTAACCCATCAAATTAGCGTTCAATTTTGCCACATTTTTCAGGTCGAATGCACGGTGCCAACATTAAATACACATCTGCATATTCATGTACCCGATACAAAATTTAACGAGAAGATTCGTCTGTCTTTAACGTGGGCGATAAGAGCTTTAATTACATCGTTCTTTCGTTTATTAATTTTTACCGCTTTTATTACGGTTATAGGAACGTTCCAGGATTACCTACAGCGGAGTAACGACTACACGGTAATCTAATCTCCGCAAGATCTCATTCCGAAGGTGTGGAAGAGATTAGCTGAGCCCAACAACAACAGAAACTCTTTCGCTAAATTGATTTTGAGAGGCCTTGTACAGAC